TTAATAAAAATAAAATTATATTTATATTACAAATAAATACATTTTTTTTTAACATTATAATAAAAACAATATTTATACATATCCACCGATTTTTGCAACATTTTAGGGCACATTTATAAAAATTTCTAAGGGGTTACTATAGTGCAGGACACCTAGTCCCTACAACTTTATTGGTCTTGCAGATCCTTTAATGACTCCAAAAATGGAAATGTAACATCAAAAAAAAAGATGTCATTTTGAAGCTAAGACCTTTCTCTACAAAATGACATTTTCATTTTGTTGATATGTTATGCTGTTGTGGAGGAATTAAGCCTTAAAGTTGCACAAGTTTAACAAATTTACTATGTTAACCCCCCAAAATGACGTGTTACACGCAAATTTTTTATGTTAAAAATGAACGAATTGGAAGAATTGAAAATTTTGAAATTTGTATTGCAGATCATCATCACGTGATATTAAGAAGAGAATGCAACGGTGACATATTAATATTAATATGGTGTATATAACAAACCTCAGTTTTTACAATGTATAATCTATATTTATTATATTTATTAAACAAAAAATAAATGAAGATTTTATCAATAATTATTTAATAGCTATATATAGGCAGGTTGATTAAAGCAAGTGTTAAAGATTACTCAAGTAATAATAATAACTATTAATGAAACTTAGTATTAATCTCAAAGTGTCAGTTTTGAATTGGGGAATTACTTGTTTTAAAACTAGTTTAGTAAGAGTTTCCATTTTAGTTATGTTCTATTTTTATTCATTTTTTTCTCTTTCAAAAAACACATCGCATTTTTATTATTCAAAAATCATTTTGGGATTGTCAAAAACGAACAAGAATGTATATATTATTTTTTTTGGATTGCATGGCCACACTATGCAAGGCAAGTATTACTAAAAGTTCAGTAAAGTAAAGTGGGTGGAACTTATTACTGGCTGTTCGGATCGTCCTATTATACGACTGTAGCAGTTACCCCACTGAGTTCAGGCCAATGTGTTAGTTCATAGTCATTGAAAGTCCAGTGAATTATTATTTTTTTCGAAAATTAATAAAGTGGGTGGAACTTTTTACTGGCTGCCCTTCTTTGGAGGAGTGACCCCACTTAAGATGGCTCATGTGTTGGCTTATGCCTGTTTTACTCAAGGTAGCTTTGCTTAGTCAATTATTTGGCTAATGAAAAAATCTTTTTTTCATTTTCTTATTTTTAGATGCTTTCACCACAACAAAAAAGAAAAATTCAATATGCAATAAGGCAAGTCTTCTTTACTTAAAGTGGGGTAATCTGTGTTTACCGGCTGTGCCCATGTGATGATATTGATATTGAAAAAAAGAGGTAATTGATTCTACTTTACAAATCGAAAGATAATGGTGATGAAAAGAGGTGATTGATGGTCGCGTAACAGTTCTATCATATTTATTTTATTCTTTATGCATAATATTCTTCATTGATTCATTGACGATCTTCAAAAACACATGACAATGAAATTTTAAAAAGTTCAGCAACTAGGTAAATTACGAGTTGTGGTCTTTTAGGTATTATTTCTGTTTTTATGATATTAATCTCACCATCCTCATTCTCTTCTTCATCCTCTTTATCATCATCTTCTCCATCTCCATCCTCATCATAATCTTTATCTCCATCATCACCATAATCCTCCACTTGGATATACTTGATGTTTTTAATTGTTTCATCAACTATATAATATTTATATATTAATATTACCTCTCTCCCCATTTATTTTCATTTATTCCGGTAATAATTCATTATTTCAAATGTATGAAGCTTCCAAAGAACATTCATCAATTATTCAATAGTTGTATAGATTATGAAGCTTCCAAAGCAAGTGTATGTATATATTCAAATAATAAAATAATTTGGGGATATATTAATAATATATTCTGCATGACATTAATAAACCAGGTTTTTTATATATCTAATTTTAACCATATCCTTTTATATATTAATATGTATTGTCTGAAATGGATATCTGGGTCAATTACTGTAATGAAATTCTTACATCATTAATGATAAATTGGTTTAATAAATCAGCTTATTGATAAATTTTAATATGTAGATAATAAAAAAACATATTATTGATTCCATAAAACAACAACAAAGATGATAACAATGATAACAATAGCAGCAAAATAATGATTTTAAAAATAAATAAATTAGAAGAATTGAAAATTTTATTTTAAAGTAAGTTATATACATAAATAAATAAACAAAATATAGAGATAATAAAAATAAATAGCTAATCAATTAATTAATTCATAATCGATCCAAGATCATGTAATATGCTAGTAGGAATTCTTCTATGAGAGTGATATTTCTTTACAGCATATTCTACAGCATTCATAGATAATCCTTGTCTGTATGCATCCATGTACCTGAAGGATCTGTGAGTATATTTAAAAAAAATGCATCTCTATATATTTTAAAAAAAACGCATCTATATATGTATATTTTAAAAAAAAAATGCATATATATATATATATATAAATAAAACCCTGCGGATATGTGGTGGTGAAAATTAAGGATATTTAAAATTCTTTTTAAAAGGGTTGATTTTAGGACCAATGTTATTATTATCTCTTATATTTGGACATTCCTGTGCCAAGTGTCCAAGGTATCTGCAAATGTAGCACATATTTGCAGAACCTGCCCAAGGTGAATTTACATTCAATAATAACATGCCGTTTGCAGAAGTTAATTTTTTATTTGCAGACACCGCTGGTGTTGGTGTTGCTACTACTGCTTCTGGTGTTGCTATTGTTGTAGATGTTGATGCTGGCATTGATGTTGATGCTGACGTTGGGGATGATGACTCCAATGATTTTGTTAGTGACGATGATAACAGCAACTGTGATGATGGTGACTCCAATGACCTTGATAACGATGATGATAACAGCAACTGTGATGATGGTGACTCCAATGATGATGATAACAGCAACTTTGATGATGGAACTTTTTTTGCAACTTCTATCAGAACATCTAGTGCCTTATCTAAAATTTTTAGTTGTTGGTATTCGAAATTATCATTGCTGTTATTATTATTATCGTTATTTATTATTTAAAAAATTTTTTTTGTGTAAGAATCTAATCTCATATATATCGTGTCACCGGTGTCACCAACGAATATCATCGCTATTTTGTGACTTGAAAATTTGGCCACGAGGCACAGCATTTGATGTCTTTAGATGGTACGCACCATATTCTTTAATAAAATAGACTACTTCGTGGTAAATGATCCATTGATTGAGTAGTCTAATAAATTACCACAAAACATATAAACAAATCCGCGAACCAAAAAATCATAAAAAAACGTGCATTGGTTTTACTTTTTACATTGTATTCTTTAATAAAATAGACTACTTCGTGGTAAATGATCCATTGATTGAGTAGTCTAATAAATTACTACAAGACATATAAACAAACCCGCCATCCACTTGTGGACCAAAAAATCACAAAAAAAAAATACATTGGTTTTGCTTTCACGTTGTATTCTTTAATAAAATAGACTATTTCGTGGACAAATGATCCATTGATTGAGTAGTCTAATAAATTACCACAAAACATATAAACAAATCCGCGAACCAAAAAATAATAAAAAAAGTGCATTGGTTTTACTTTTTACGTTGTATTCTTTAATAAAATAGACTACTTCGTGGCAAATGATCCATTGATTGAGTAGTCTAATAAATTACTACAAAAAATATAAACAAACCCGCTATCCACTTGTGGACCAAAAAATCACAAAAAAAATACATTGGTTTTACTTTTTACGTTGTATTCTTTAATAAAATATACTACTTCGTGGCAAATGATCCATTGATTGAGTAGTCTAATAAATCACTACAAAACATATAAACAAACCCGCCATCCGACCAAAAAATCACAAAAAAAAATACATTGGTTTTACTTTTTACGTTGTATTCTTTAATAAAATAGGCTATTTCGTGGACAAATGATCCATTGATTGAGTAGTCTAATAAATTACTACAAAACATATGAACAACCCGCCATCCGACCAAAAAATCACAAAAAAAACGTGCATTGGTTTTGCTTTTTCTTGATAATAGTATGTAAGAATTTTATGAACAGATAATAAATATTTATTTAATTTATATCTTGTAATAAATTCTTTGATTTTAATCTTTTGTATTAACAGCATAAATCCAATTATTGATATTTATCAAACATCTTTGAATTGCACCTCTAATACAATAATAAAGTAAAAGAGCCAACTCTGTGTGTTCATTTCCATTTCAACTCTCCCCAACCAATTCTAATAAAGTATATATATATACACAGAAAAAAAAATTAGTAATAAAAGAGCAAGATCAATGATAAATTACATATTACATATTTATTAGAAAACTTGTTGTTACCAATTAGTGCCTTGCTGGAATTTGAATTTAACAATCAGTTGTTTGTGATTGAAAACTCAAGTTTCTTTACTTTTATGGTAATAATCTGTACAAATAATATCAAGATGTTTGTTACTAAATTAGGTTTTAACTTTTACGTCAAAAACATTATTATTATTATATATACAAAGGAATTAAAATGATTTTTGAAATTGTGCAATAATGCAAACGCGTGTCACAATCTATCTGTTATTGTATCATTACGCAAATAAATATGTTGTGATGCGTAACTTTTAGACTACCACATGCAATCTATCTATTATTGTATCGTTGGGTTACATTTAGACTACCACATAAATAAATATGTTGTGATGCATAACGTTTTAGACTATATACCACATTTTTAAATTTGTGACGCATAACGTTTTAGACTACCACGTGCAATCTATCTATTATTGTATCATTGGGTTATGTTTAGACTGCTGCAAGCATGTAAATAAATATGTTGTGATGCGTAACTTTTAGACTACCACATGTAAATGATTTTTAAATTGTATGTGAAATTGAAATATTATGGAGTGGGGTGAAATTCTGATTGGCTAATTTGAATTTCACATATGTAAATTTGAATTTCACGTACGTGAATTGTGAATTCATTAACACTTATAAAAGATTGCTCAAATCCCCATAACACTGCTTTTTCCCTTACTTGGAATAGATTGTATGAATTTGGTTTTGATCTACTATTTTTTTTATAAACAGGAACACCAAAAAAATTTTTTTCTCATTTTTTCCCAAGGATTCAAAGGCATTATTTTTTTTATTACTGCTTGCTTGTATATTTATTCTTTGGAGACTTTATGAAAAGTCCAGGATGTTAATGGGTGGAACTTATTCCTGGTTGTTACGAAGTATAGTAGAACAATGATCCCACATAATTTCAAAAAAGTCTAAATTTTTTGATACAAGTTGACTTGCATTCAATGCGAATTCACAACAAAGTCCAGATTTATCAAAGGTGGCACTAAATCTGGTTATGCGAAGTACAGTAGCATAATTACCCTTCATAAATTCGCAGTACACATTCTTATTTCCTTGGGTTACAAAGGCTAATCTGGCTGCGTGTCCTGATGATATGAGGATGCAAATAATATATCATATGATCATATGATGATGATTATTATGAGGATTATAGGTCCCAGGGAGGGCTCGCATTGCTCTGGGACTTGTTAAAGTTGTCGCATTGTTGTCAAGGAGAATGTTTAAAGACTAGTGAGTGACGTAATCCAAAAAGGACACCAATTTTTATACACTGGAGATACAACTACAACCATCACCATAACTCACTGCACTAGTCTTTATTTTAGAGCTTCTCACTTGTCTAAAGTCTTCTGATGTCTAACTCCACCTACCCGTGTGAGAGATCCACATGAAGGTCCTACGGTTCATAAGGAGTTGATTATTGGATGTTGGTCAGAAGGAAAGTTTTAATCAAATCTGAAACCAAGGTTGGGTGGTTGATTATCATTTTTGGACATTTTGTTTTGGTGATTAAGAGATGGTGGAGATGGAGTTGCTCAAGTGAAGGTTATATAAGGTTGATTATGATACCATTGTTTATCTTTGCTTAATATTACTGTTTATATGGTGGCGGTGGATTTGAAACTATGGGTGTAGGATAATACCTGTTACCAGATTCATCATCAACTTAACCACCATCATCTGGTTCGCCATCATCAAGAATTCCAGCTCATATTACAACATGGTGTTGTCCAAATACGGCCCTTCTGACAATAATATCAGATTGTTATTTAGTATTTTACTCTATAGTAGATTAAAACTTTAGAGTTTCATATGTGCATGGCCTTGGTATTATTTAATTACCTGGGTGATGCAATCATATAAATATGTCAAATTTGTTGCATAATCAACATGAATATTATAATAGGCATGATACAATACTGAAAAGATAAGTAATGTTTTATTTATTTTGATTTAACCAAGAGAAAAAATATAGTGATTTTAATTATATATTCATGAGAGTATACAGTAATAGAAGATAAAAACAATCAGAGCAATTAATTGCAAGAGAAGCCATGGTGAACATTAACTATCTTTGGTCACTCTAATGTATGTTTTCACTATTATTTTAATAATATCTTTTATGCCATCCAATTTTTATTCTTTTCTTTATTGATTCTCTATTGTTTTCTGATACAGTTGATGGATCTTTCTATAACGGATCTTGCTCTATGATTGACCTGAGAATCAATAATCCAAGAAGAAATTATTGTGAGAGAAAACATTCACTTGAATATTAGCAACAAAGCAGAAAAAGGTATGAGCAGAGACATTTAATTGAGTCGTAGGATTTATAATAACAACATTAACATTATTTCATTTTCTGATTTATTTATAGTGAAATTAATCTTCAGAAGAGTGAGTGGTGACAATAAAACAATAGATTATGAGGATCAAACTGAATAGGTATTTATTTATTAGCAAATAATTTTGTGTATGATTTGATTATTTCTCAAGTCAAAATGTGATATTATTTTCTTTTACTCAAGAAAAGTTGTCCCCAAAGTATATTGAATTTGAATTGTTTATATAATTAGAGGATGACATTAGAGACTGAGTCTACTTTATCAACTTTGATGATATTGACTAAGTCTACAATTATACTTCATCAACTTGGTTTGTATAGAATTCTATGGTGTAGTGATACAATAAAGATCAATATTTTCAGGTAACAACACTATTACTATGGTAAAGGATTTTAGAAAAAAAAATTTTTGATTATAATAAAAATATTTTATTTAATTGAAAAACTCTATTTTTTGTTATTTCTTTAGTAGTTCAATTTTTTGTCATGTTATATTTATCTACAATTCAAATGCACCATGAATCAATTTCATTGCTCCTAAATGATAAATTTCTATTTACCATATAGGACATGGTGTTAGTTGGCATTATTGGGAGAATATCAAATGAAAAGGAATTATCATCATCACTGTTGGCTTTTCTTGTTTTCATGTACAAAAAAACGTGCATTGGTTTTGCTTTTTACGTATTCTTTAATAAAATAGACTATTTCGTGGTAAATGATCCATTGATTGAGCAGTCTAATAAATTACTACAAAACATATAAACAAATCCGCGAACCAAAAAATCATAAAAAAACGTGCATTGGTTTTACTTTTTACGTTGTATTCTTTAATAAAATAGACTATTTCGTGGTAAATGATCCATTGATCGAGTAGTCTAATAAATTACTACAAAACATATAAACAAACCCGCCATCCAACAAAAAAAAAATACATTGGTTTTACTTTTTACGTTGTATTCTTTAATAAAATAGACTATTTCGTGGACAAATGATCCATTGATTGAGTAGTCTAATAAATTACTACAAAACATATGAACAACCCGCCAACCAACAAAAAAAATACATTGGTTTTACTTTTTACGTTGTATTCTTTAAAAATAGACTACTTCGTGGCAAATGATCCATTGATTGAGTAGTCTAATAAATTATTACAAAACATATAAACAAACCCGCCATCCAACAAAAAAAAATACATTGGTTTGCTTTTTACGTTGTATTCTTTAATAAAATAGACTACTTCGTGGCAAATGATCCATTGATTGAGTAGTATAATAAATTACTACAAAACATATAAACAAACCCGCCATCCAACAAAAAAAAAATACATTGGTTTTACTTTTTACGTTGTATTCTTTAATAAAATAGACTACTTCGTGGTAAATGATCCATTGATTGAGTAGTCTAATAAATTACTACAAGACATATAAACAAACCCGCCATCCAACAAAAAAAAAATACATTGGTTTACTTTTACGTTGTATTTAATAATAAAATAGACTACTTCGTGGCAAATGATCCATTGATTGAGCAGTCTAATAAATTATTACAAAACATATAAACAAACCCGCCACCCAACAAAAAAAAATTACATTGGTTTTACTTTTTACGTTGTATTCTTTAATAAAATAGACTACTTCGTGGTAAATGATCCATTGATTGAGTAGTCTAATAAATTACTACAAGACATATAAACAAACCCGCCATCCAACAAAAAAAAAAGTGCATTTGTTTTACTTTTTACGTTGTATTCTTTAATAAAATAGACTATTTCGTGGTAAATGATCCATTGATTGAGCAGTCCAATAAATTACTACAAAACATATAAACAAATAGAAATTTTTCTCGACAAATGGATAATAATGTAGAGTATTTTGTTTGTTTTTTATTTATTTTAGTGATTAAAGAGTCATTACATGAATAATAATAAATTTAATAAATTTAATTCCATTTGAGATATAGATGGCTGAAAAGATGGAAATTTTCTTGATAATAGTATGTAAAAATTTTATGAACAGATAATAAATATTTATTTAATTTATATCTTGTAATAAATTCTTTAATTTTAATCTTTTGTATTAACAGCACAAATCCAATTATTGATATTTATCAAATATCTTTGAATTGCACCTCTAATACAATAATAAAGTAAAAGAGCCAACTCCATGCATCCATTTCCATTTCAACTCTCCCCAATCAATTCTAATAAAGTATATATATATACATAGAAAAAAAAAATTAGTAATAAAAAAGCAAGATCAATGATAAATTACATATTACATATTTATATAAAAAGATTAGAAACTTGTTTTTGCCTTGCTGGAATTTGAATTAACAATCTGAACCAATTAATTGTTTGTGATTGAACTCATAATAATCTGTACAAAGAATGTCAAAATGTTTGTTACTAAATTAGGTTTTAACTTAACGTCAAAAACATTATTATTATTATTATTATTATTATTATTATATTTATATATACAAAGGAATTAAGGCATATTTTTATTAATATATAGAATATACTCACAGATCCTTCAGGTACATGGATGCATACAGACAAGGATTATCTATGAATGCTGTAGAATATGCTGTAAAGAAATACCGCTCTCATAGAAGAATTCCTACTAGTATATTACATGATCTTCAATCAATTATGAATTAATTAATTGATTAGCTATTTATTTTTATTATCTCTATTTTGTTTATTTATTTATGTATATAACTTACTTTAAAATAAAATTTTCAATTCTTCTAATTTATTTATTTTTAAAATCATTATTTTGCTGCTATTGTTATCATTGTTATCATCTTTGTTGTTGTTTTATGGAATCAATAATATGTTTTTTTATTATCTACATATTAAAATTTATCAATAAGCTGATTTATTAAACCAATTTATCATTAATGATGTAAGAATTTCATTACAGTAATTGACCCAGATATCCATTTCAGACAATACATATTAATATATAAAAGGATATGGTTAAAATTAGATATATAAAAAACCTGGTTTATTAATGTCATGCAGAATATATTATTAATATATCCCCAAATTATTTTATTATTTGAATATATACATACACTTGCTTTGGAAGCTTCATAATCTATACAACTATTGAATAATTGATGAATGTTCTTTGGAAGCTTCATACATTTGAAATAATGAATTATTACCAAAATAAATGAAAATAAATGAGGAGAGAGGTAATATTAGAATATTAATTATTTATAATGAATGATATATATATATATATGTATGTATTAATATATAAATATTATATAGTTGATGAAACAATTAAAAACATTGAATATATCCAAGTGGAGGATTATGGTGATGATGGAGATAAAGATTATGATGATAAAGAGGATGAAGAAGAGGATGAGGATGGTGAGATTAATATCATAAAAACAGAAATAATACCTAAAAGACCACAACTCATAATTTACCTAGTTGCTGAACTTTTTAAAATTTCATTGTCATGTGTTTTTGAAGAATCAATGAAGAATATTATGCATAAAGAATAGTATCCAATAAAATAAATATGATAGAGCTGTTATGTGACCATCAATCACCTCTTTTCATCATCATTATCTTTCAATTTGTAAGTAGAATCAATTGTCTCTTTTTTTCAATATCAATATCATCATGTGGGCACAGCCAGTAAACACGTAATACCCCACTTTAAGTAAAGAAGACTTGCCTTGTTGCATATTGAATTTTTCTTTTTTGTTGTGGTGAAAGTATCTAAAAATAAGAAAATGAAAAAAAGATTTTCATTAGCCAAATAATTGACTAAGCAAAGCTACCTTGAGTAAAACAGGCATAAGCCAACACATGAGCCATCTTGAGTGGGGTCACTCCTCCAAAGAAGGGCAGCCAGTAAAAAGTTCCACCCACTTTATTAATTTTCGAAAAAAATAATAATTCACTGGACTTTCAATGACTATGAACTAACACATTGGCCTGAACTCAGTGGGGTAAACTGCTACAGTTGTATAATAGGACGATCTGAATGGCCCAGTAATAAGTTCCACCCACTTTACTTTACTGAACTTTTAGTAATACTTGCCTTGCATAGTGTGGTCATGCATCCAAAAAAAAATAGTATATACATCCTTGTTCATTTTTGACAATCCCAAAATATTAATGGGAGAAAAACAAATGAATAAAAATAGAACATAACTAAAATGGAAACTCTTACTAAACTAGTACTAGTACTAGTTTTAAAACAAGTAATTCCCCAATTCAAAACTGACACTTTGAGATTAATACTAAGTTTCATTAATAGTTATTATTATTACTTGAGTAATCTTTAACACTTGCTTTAATCAACCCGCCTATATATAGCTATTAATTAATTATTCATTTATTTTTTGTTTAATAAATATAATAAATATAGATACAGTGTGGAACATTCAATTCCGGAAAATTTTTGTGGAAACTAAAATTTGCACAGCTTAACCAAATTAAGCTTAATTTATATATTTTAAAATGAAAAATAAAGATGAGGTATGTGATAGTGTTGGTCGCCAAAACTATTTTGAAGAGGTGAAAGTCAAAACTAAAATTAAAAGTTATATGTCAAAACTAAATCAAAAGTCAATAGTCAAAAATCAAAACTAGTTTCGACTTATGGCGAAACCTTTTGACTTTCGCACGGTTGCGAAACTCTCGAGTTTTGGAAACCAACACTAGTATGTGACTAAACTGTGATACATTTTTGTAACACTAACACTTTGAAAATTTTTTTTTTCACTAATAGCAAAGCAATGACCGCCAGAAAAGAAACCCAACGCCAAACAATAGAATTTTATTGGAATAAAGGCATCCAAAACGCCAAAGAAATTTGCAAAAGAACAGGAATAGCCTCCTCTACCGTCTATGATAATATAAAAAATTTAAAAAAGACTGGTACTACAAAATGTGCTAGTGGTAATATTCAACCCTGGAAAATGTCAAATAGTGCATTACGTCATTTAAGGAAATACATTTGCCAGGATTCTTCACTTTCAACTAGGACATTGGCCACAAAACTGTCTCAAACGGGTGTGGAGATATCACATGTTACTGTAGGAAGGCACTTGGCTAATATGGGGTATGAAAAAAATCTTCCTACTGCAACCCCGATGCTTACCACTGCTCATAAAGAAAAACGGGTAGAATGGGCAAATAAACATCTCAATGACAATTGGGAAAGGACTTTGTTTACAGATGAGACTGCCTTTCAGCTCTTCCGAAACACAGTAGAACATTGGCATAAAAAAGGAGAACGGCCCATTCGTCGCATTCCTAAAGATCGTACAAAGATTTTTGCTTGGGGTGGATTTTACAAAAATGGAAAAACAAGTTTATTTTGTTTTTCACAGATTATGGATGCTCAATTTTATGTGAATATCCTTCATGACCATATTCCTGAGGTTAAAAAGGTTTTGGGGAGTAGATGGCGGTTCCAGCAAGACAATGACCCAAAACATACAAGTAAACTTGCTAAAGAATTTCTTGCTGAGAATGTGCCACAAGTTATGGACTGGCCTTCTAATAGTCCTGACTTGAATCCAATTTAAAACCTTTGGAGTATTGTTAAGACTAACGTTGAGAAACGGATGCCAAAAGACCAGACTGAATTAAAAAAATTTATGAAGGAGGAATGGGAAAAAATTCCAAATTCCACTCTTAGTAATTTAGTGGATTCTATGAAAAGGCGTTGTGAACTTGTAATTGAAAAAAATGGGGAACGCATCCCTTATTAAAAAAAATTATAATAATAAAGAATTTACATTTGTTTTCCAACTTTCATATATTAAAATTACACGTGATTTTGATCATTGGTTGTGAAGTAATGAATAATTTTTTAATTCCGGAATTGAATGTTCCACACTGTACATTGTAAAAACTGAGGTTTTGTTATACTCTAATAAATATTCATATATTAATATTAATATATAAATCCAGAATTGCTAATTTTATTTATTATAAGTTAATTAATTAACATTCACAATTCCATATTGCTCTTTCTTTTTTTTTTTCTTCCCCATGTGGGGAAGTGCATGCTCCTGGAGAGAGCTTTGCCCTCTGCAGAACATCACAAAGGTATGATTGTTGCATGCTTTAAAAACAGATTAATTATCTAATATAAACTTATTATCTTGATCTATATACATATAATTAAAATCAATTTTTGACAATCTTCATAAACATGTGACTGTAAAAATTTTATTGCATTTTTGATTGGGAATTTTTTCCCAAATCTGTTGCTGTGGCACAGAAAGCTGTAGGGACTAGGTGTCCTGCACTATACATGACTTATTTTAATATTTTTTAAAAAAATTTGAATAGACAAATAAAAAAAAAAATAATCATATGGCATTTGCTCTCAACCAAACATCTTGACTATTTTGTGGAAAACTACATCATTTGATTTTTACAATGTAAATAAAGATATATACTTATTAATATATAAGATTAGAAAACATGTTTTTACCAATTAGTGCCTCAAATTAACAATCTAAACCAATTAATTGTTTACAATTGAAAAAAGTTTTTTTGCTTTATAGTAATAATCTAATGCTATGTACAATAATCATCAGGAAAATGGGTACAAATATTATGCATATATAATACGCAATTGCAGGGATTAAGCATATAATATATGTACAATTTGCATACATAAAAAAATACACGATTTGTATGCATATTATATGCTTAATCCCTGCAATTGTGTATTATATACGCATAATATTTGTACCCATTTTCCTGATGATGTATCACCAATTAAATTTGGGAGAGTGTATTTTTAATTGGTGATAACGATTATTTTTGTTTATGTGTGGATCAGAATGAATAGGTTATCAACAAATTGATTTTGGATTAGCAAATAATTTTGTTTAAAGAAGATAAAAGTGTTAAATAAAATATTTATTTATTTTATTTATTTAGTTATCTTGAAACTAATTAACTTGTAACAAAGTTGCTTTTACATTAGGTCGAAATTAAGTTCTTTATATACATATTCATTACATATTAGCCCAAATTGTGTGAATTCACCCACTTTGTGTGCTTGAGCAATTCTGCCTGGTCCAGGATAATCGTCATTAATCTCTACTAAATAAAGTTAAATAAACATTAAACGTGCCACAGATTAATTAATAATAATTAAATACGTGAAACATAGTATGGATTCAGATGATTATTATTATACATGTTAATTAATAATAATAAAAATAGAAATAGAAATAAAATTTAAATTGACCTGAAATTAAAGGATTTGGCCAAATTATCTTCATTATCATTTGATTCCAGTAACAAATGCTTTATCTAGTTGTATGATAAATGAGTTTGATTATTTTTAAAATCCAAAAAAAAATGCTCTTTATCTATTACCATATATTTTTGTATTTTGGTAAGTACTTGATTGAATTGAGTAATCTTAGATCAAAAGAAAGCCTGAATTCTATTGCACATAATATTCAAAACTTATTTATAGTTGATATTTAGTAATGTTATTTAATATTGATTTTAAATCACAATTAATTGACACATTTTAATAACAATAATAATATTTTACATTTCCCTTCTCCTTTTTTGACAATTGTTATATTATTGTTGCTTGCTCATATTATCTAATTATTTTAATCATTATTATTTATGTAGGAATAAAATGGAAAAGAAAAATTTTAAACTATAAATATTATAAATATTCATGGCAATATAATTATTTGCATTTAGCCATAAACAGGGCTGGAAATAGGGTCTGAAAAAAAACGGAAATTCCTCCTGAATGCTAAGAATTTTCCAGAAGAAAAATTAAATTTTTTGGGTGCTAAAATTTTTTTCAAATTTAAGAATTTTCTTTATTTTATACTTCTGTTTTACTTTGAAGAAGATTACTAAGAGCATCACTAAAATCATAACATAATAAATCAGTACCTTCTAAATCAACCATCATTAATAAGTGCAATATGTCATTTTACATTGCATTACATAAATCTGTTTTGTTTGCTAAAACTCTTTCACAATCTACACTAGAAAATGGAATTGAGTGCACTATTTCTATAAGTTTT